TTCTTTCTTCCCAGTTTAACCCCAAAGATCTTGTTAGCTCCTCAAAGACAGAGCCGAGGAGAGTTGGTCCCCCTGGTCCTTCTCAATGTAGCTGTTCCTTTCCTACTTTACCTTTTCCATGTAATTTGTGGGGCAATTAGCCAGACCTAGTCTGCTGAAACTCTCTGAAGTCAGGCCTCCCACTAGCCCAGGACTCTGGTAACAAGTGTACTAAATGTCACTAAATTGTACACTTCAAAATGATCAAAGTGGTCAATTTTGCCTTATGTGTACTTTATAATTTTTAAAGGAAGATACTCAGAAAGTGATGCATCTATGTAGGAGGAAAAATGGATGCAATTTCTCTCAATCTATGTGTCTGTGTCCATTTTATTAGACTTTACCTTATCTTAGCCAACAAACACTGCGGTACACGAACCAAGTGTCTTAGTCACTTTCTCATCACTGGGACACCATACCCAACATCCACAACTTAAGAGAAAAGAGATTTCATTTAGCTCACAGCATAGTCCACGGTCAGCTGACTCCAAGGCAGAAAACAGGATGGAAGAGTGAACAGAAGAGGAAAAGCTCCTCAGGTCATGGAAGCCAGAAAGCAGAGACTGAATTGAGAACTGGAAAAAGAGACATACCCGTCCAGGTCACACCCCAGTGACTCACCTCTTCCAATCAGGTGCCATCTCCCAACAGCATATACAGCCACTGAATTCACTGGTGGACGAAGCCACTGATGAGAACAGTGTCCCCATGAACCAGTTAGCTCCATAAAGCCACCTCTACGTGCATAAGGCTTTAGGGGGACATTCTCAATCCAAACTGTAACACTCTACCCCTGCTTCCCAAAAGACTCGTGTGCATTTCTTTAAGCAAAATTCATTTAGTCATAATAATTTCAGTATTTCCGGAAAGTCCAAATCCAAAGTTTCTTCTGAGACTCAAGGCAAACTCTTAGCTGTGAGTCGCTGGAAATATAAAAAAGAAAGTTATAGCCGGGCGTGGTGGTGCATACCTGTAATCCCAGCACTCGGGAGGCTGAGGCAGGAGGATCGCTGTGAGTTTGAGACCAGCCTGGACTACATAGTGAGTTCCAGGTCAGTCTCAACTACATAGTGAGACCCTGTCTCAAAAAA